TGATGAAGAGGAACATGGATTTCAGAGAGTTTGGAAAGTCTGCCTGAAGTTGCTGATCACATGTCCTGCTCCTCAAGCACCGCTTCCCAGCTCCACCTGCGCGCACGCACGCGGAGCTTGGGGGGTTCTGCCCCAGGATGCTGAGAGAGGAGATGAAATCCTTCCCTGGCAGGGTGGGCAGGCCCTGGCACAGGTGCCCAGAGAAGCTGTGGCTGCCCCTGGATCCCTGGGAGTGTCCAAGACCAGGTTGGACAGGGCTTGGAGCACCCTGGGATAGTGGAAGGTGTCCCTGCCAATGTCCCACCCCAGGGGTGGAATGGATGGGATTTAAGGTCCCTCCCAACCCAGCCTATTCCATGATCCTACGGTCCCCCTGAGGGAAGGAGAGGCTGTACCCATCCCACTGGATGTGATTGTGCTGGCCCCACTGGCCAGATCTGATAATGAAAAACTTGGAGAGCAGGGATGATCCCTATGCTGAAAGGCAGCCTGGGGCTTTCCTAAAATCCCAGTGATGGATGGAGGGGAGGCAGGCTCAAGCTGGCACAGCCATAAAGCCTTAAAACTTAACAAGAGTAAGAAAAATAAACACTGGCAAAGATCTTTCTGTGAAGAATATTTCCAAGAAAGCTTTTTAATTTTTCTGCTTGTTTTCCAGCTGAAAAGCTTTCCTATTATCCCAGGCTGTTGCAGGAAGTGCAGCAGCACAAGGGGACCCAAACAGATGAGGCTCTGAGCAGCCATTCCTCTTTGAAACACAGCTCTGTCTAATCCTGCTCCGAGCAACTTCAGGCAGCATGGTGGGAAAAAAACTGCTGGTTGCTGGCACCTTGCCTAATGTAAGCATTCCTGCTGCTACCCTCAAAAACATCGAAGGATTTTTTTTCAGTGACAAGTTCTGCACAGAGAACTGAAAAACTTCTCCCTGGGTTTCGCTGTGCTGGAAAAAAAAATATAAAAATTTCATAAGAATCTGATTTTCTGAAATAGGAATCGATTTTAATTTTAATTTTCATCCAAGTGCAGCACAGGTGCTTTAGCATTTCTGTTGCTGTGAGCATTGTCTCAGAAAAGCTGCAGAAAGATAAACCAAGGGAGATGAAAGAACCCATCCCAGAAAGAGAGGGCTGTGCATGTGCAGATAGTGTGGAGAGAGAAGAATCAGCATGACCTTTATGGAAGGGCATAAAAGGGATGAGCATCAGTCCTTGGAATTGGTGAACCACCCTGAGCTCAGTGTCCATCATCGTGATATCTGAATACTTGGGCAGAGGTCAATGATCAAAGCAGGCACGTTCAAGGAGGGAAAAAAAGCCCTGCAAAGTGCAGTAAAAATGCTCGAGTTTGCTGAAGACCAGATTTAAACCTCATTGAACACCTCAGCTTTGGTGCAGACGAAAATGAAGGAACCCAGAATTGCTGTTTGAAAGCTGACACTTGAAACATGTCTGGAGCCAAAGGAAGGCAACACGAAATCTAGAGTTACCCACACCATTCAACTCTGATCCATTGTACCTGCCTGAGAACAGCGACTGCAGGAGGATCATCCTCCTCCTCCTCCTCCTCTGCACATGGAGCCCAGGATTTCCAGAAGGAAGGAAGGAATGAAGACATGGTTCTCACACAGTTACCACCACAGATTTTGGGAGCTCATTTGCAGCAAGTTACTTGCACATCTCCCAGAACATCATCTTTGATGGCCTAATTTGGATTTGGGGGTCTTCAAAAGTGCAGTAATCCTCTGAGGGTGCAAATCTACGTTGTGGTGGGGGAAGAAAAATCCCCAAGGGAATCTTTTAGGTCACTGGGCAGATTTGTAGCCAACTGGTGGAGAATACGGAAATAACTGGAACTGAAAACTGCTTTGAAGTGCAAGACAGATGTGGAAATCATAGAAACACTGGATATCCAGAGTTGCAAAGGACCCACAAGGATCACTGATCCAACTCCTGGCCCTGCACAGACACCTCAACACTCCCACCCTGGGCATCCCTGGAAGTGGTGTCCAAACTCTCCTGGAGCTCTGGCAGCCTCGGGGCTGTGCCCATTCCCTGGGGAGCCTGGGCAGTGCCAGCACCTCTGGGGCAAGAACCTGTCCCTGAGATCCAGCCTAAGCTCCTCTGACATTCAACAGCTTAGAGAAAATACCCAGAACAGCCTGAACCTGGCTGGACTTGAGGATCTTTGAGACCTTTTCCAACCTGAACGATTTGGTGATTCTGCCTTGCACCAACACAAGTCCCAGAAAATGCAAAGGCTGCCAGGATTTGGAAAGAGCAGCCCCTTCAGCCTTTTTGAGTCTTGCTAGGATGTCCTTAATGGGAATGTACAACCACTATTACTCTTTGTGAGACGCCCTTCTCCTAAAAGGACAGGCAGCTCGAGCACGCCTCATTGCCTTCTCCTTCAGCTCCCGCTGACAGACGAGGCTGCCTGTCCTCGCTGTCAGCCATCCCCTCCCAGCCCTGCCAAGGATTCAAGGACCAGCAAGATTAGCTGTCTGCTGAAGGATGCCCAGAGCTCTGGGGTGCTCAGAGCCCTGCATGGAAACTCCTGATTCTGCTCTTGTGGCCAAAGTGCCGCTTTTCAACAGCAGGGTTGTGCTTGAGAAGAGATGTTGTAAAATGACAGAATTTAACAACCAGTGAGGCCCTCCTGAGACACAACTGGCAAGTCCCAAACAGAACAGAGTGCTCACCTCAGAAGACAAGTGAGAAGAGGAAAGTCAGTGGAAGCTGATAGGATCATGCAGAGGTCTGAACACTGTAACAGGAGGTGTTGGCACTGTTGGAGCGTGTCCAGAGGTGGGAATGGAGCTGGGGAAGGGGCTGGAGCCCCAGGAGAGGCTGAGGGAGCTGGGAAAGGGGCTCAGCCTGGAGAAAAGGAGACTCAGGGGGCCCTTCTGGCTCTGCACAACTCCCTGCCAGGAGGGGACATCTGGGGGAGGCTCTGCTCCCAGGGAACAGGGACAGGAGGAGAGGAAATGGTCTCAGGCTGGGCTCAGGTTGGATATTGGGGAAAATTTTTTCAGAGAAAGGGGTTGTCCAGCCCTGGCACAGCTGCCCAGGGCAGTGGTGGAGTCCTCATGCCAGGAGGATTTAGCATTTGTGTGGATGTGGCACTTGTGGATGTGGATTAGTGGTGGGCTTGGCAGTGCTGGGGGAATGGTTGGACTCGATGATCCCCGAGGGCTTTTCCATCCTAAATGATTCTGCTCCCTTTAAGGCTCCCTGTGTGTTACTGAGTTGCTGCTGGCTAACAATTTCTTGCCCTTCTGGAAGCACAGTGATCCCATTTCTAGGAGAGGGGACAATTTTGTTGACTAATGCAAGAGGATTTCAGCTAACACGGTGGAAGAAGAGGAGAAGAGGAAACGAGGAGGATGAAGGACGGACTCTGCAGTCACAACAGTGATACCGGGGACAAGAGACCCAACTGCAAACCCCCCACTGCTCCCTCTTGGGGAGCACAGGACCACACAGGCTCCAGCTCCAGTGCCTTGTGAAAATAAATCTCCCCAGGAGAAGGAAAACATACACCTATTAGCTGCTCAGAAAGAGATTTTTCAAAGGCTCTCGATATCCAGCTGGTCTTGATTCATATTGACTTCAACAAAATATTCTTGGGCCAATGGTGAATGCTCTGAAAAATCCCCTCTGTAATTTGCCATTGAGGTATGAAAATAAGTGGTGTAAAAGGGCTTCTTTAAAAGAAAAAGAAAAAAAAAAGGACAAATTAAAAATGAAAGGTTGAACTAAAATTTGGCTTTGGGCCATAAACTAGGGGGGGAAACTAACAGCAAAGATAGTTAAATGACTGGAAAGAGAACACAACAGGAGCTGTTATGAAAAAAAAGCTGATGGGTTTTTAAAAAAGGATTTGTATAGATAGCTGGGGAAATAAATTCCGGATGTGATAGAAGTGCAATTGAGAAATTAAATAAATGGAAAATAAGGATGACTAAGTAGTAGTTAAACATGCCCCTTCTCAGTTGTATACTATTATCACATCTATTTTTAATGTCTCTTCAGCTGTCTGCAATTGTCATCCTTTTTTCAGAACTTGTTCCAACATTCTTTGATACTGAATTAGCTGTTTTTTACTCTCCCATGCTTACAACCACATCTTTTTCTTACTCAACACTCCCCTTTTCCCACAATGTTATTCCATTGTCTCCCTTTTTCATCTCTCCTTATGTGTTGACTCCCCAGTTTCTGAGCCCTCCAACCACCCTTGTTCATCTTTTTTTTTTTCTGGAGCTCTTTTGGTTGAATCCTAGCATGTTTCTTTTCTTCTTTTCTAAAGCTGCAAGCATGTTTTATATCATATCTGGCTCCTGTACACATTGTTACCCCTTCAGAAGGGCATTGAACAGCTACAGCAGTGTGGAAATAGTAAGCTAAACTAAGGGAGAAAAAGAAGTTCTTTTTGGCTTTTGCTTTCTGGCTCATAAAAAAAAAAAAAAAGAACCCAAACATTTAAACTCTCCCCTTTTCCTTTTTATCCTCAAATAACACAAGCTTTCCATGAGCAGGTGAATATTCAAACAATGAGAGGCATCAGAAGTGTTGGCCATTCTAGAGCTCAGGATGTGCCTAAGGAGATGTGATAACACAAGATTTAATAATACTGAAAAAAATACCCACGTTCTGATGTGATCTGTGGGCTATGGAGTGAACCTGAATTTTTCCTCCTTGTTAACCTTCCAAGTGTGCCTCTTCCTTACCTCAACACCTAATGATGGCTCCATATTAACTTGAGGACTCTGATTTATTAAAAAAAGAAGTAAAAAAATGACTCTAAACACATTTCAGGCAGCTGAATTCACCACTGTGATGCCTCAAACGGTTCAGCTCCATCATTACAAGCCCAGTCTCTAATTTCTCACAATTCCCCTTCCCTTGTGCATTCAGAGCCAAGGCTGTAGCTGAGCTAACAACACTCTTTGGATTGGCATTTTCAAAATCCAGGCTTGATTTATATTTTTTTTTGAAACCTACCTTCAGCTGTGCCCGAGATCCCATCAGCTTTGAAGTTGCTTGTGCTTTTCTTCCGGCGGTGCTTCTTTCTGTTGGCGTGGGGGGAAGGAGGGGGGTCCAGTTTGGGGCTGGTGGTACTGGATATGCTGGGGCTGGAACACACTGAATCTCCCAGGCCCGTGTCTGCAGTTGGGGGAGGAGAGAAAAAAAGGGAGAAAAATGAAAATGCTGTGAGATTTAAATGAGTTGATTGCTAGAATCCGAGCTGTAACCCCTGGCTGTTCGCAGATATGTTCTTGAGCTCTTTCAGGAGACTCTCCAAGCAATAGCCATCATTTTGTTCAAAAAGGTACAAAAAAACCCCAACTTGGCTGAAGTGCTGAGTCAAGCCCTGTTAGACTAACAGAACTCAGCATCAATTTTAGGAGCAGGTCTGCTGGAACACACAAAAACAAAGGGAAAGCACTTTATTGCTTCCAATTGCTCCTTCCTCCAAAGATCTTACCTAGCCTCAAATTAATTTGTGTAACATTTAATACACAAACAGAGCTACCCCTGCATCCTCTGGATGTTCTCTGCTGTCATTAATATCAGAAAGACACACACTGAAAAGGCAGTGAAGGCAATAAAGGCAGGAAAATAGTGTGCACCTGGTACAGGTAATAATGGTGTGATAAAGGGTCACTTCCTACCTGCTCCCAAGGAAAAGAAATAATCCCATGTTACCCTCTTCAGTTTCCTGCTTTATTAACTCCGACAATTTTAAGAACTGGGTCCTTCCACATAGTAAATACTCAAGTAACTTAATCCAGGATTTCCCCTCAAGGTTGGTAATATGATTTTTGTTTAATTACTGGCTTGGTTTGGATTTTAATTATAAAATTCCACATAAAACCTACACTTAAAGGAAAGTACTTGCTATTATGGAAAGCGAAGCCATTTCCAGAACCTTGCTTAAATACCATATTGCACCTTAGTGCAGTATCAGGACTGCATTTATGTGCCATATCCTTAAAATCTCCTAGACAGATATTCAGCAAATACATTCCCATGATGGCCTTTTGGGGTTAAATACTTGATGACTGGTTTCAGAATAGCAGACACAGGGAAAAGAATAAAAATCCTTATTATAAAGCTTAAGTGTAATAATAGGAGTGCATTTAACTTCATATGTCAGAAAAATACCAAGCCAATGATTATTAAAAAAATAGCTTTTGATTTTTTTTGGCATAGTTAAATTACCACAGAACTGCCTGTTTTACAAAACCCAACTTATTTTGGTTTCTTTTTCCTCCTAATAAAGTTTATTTACTAATTACCCCCTAAGCACAGTTGTGCTCTAAGTTATTAGTGGGGGATAAATTATGTAGCTAATTGCCTGGCAAGAGAGACCAAACCAAACATTAATCTTTATATTAAGGATTTCTGTTCTTTTCCCCACATCCACTAGCTTGAAACCAGTTCCCAAGAATTTAACCCCAAAAGGGAATCACAGGAATGTATTTTACTCTGTATAAGTGCAGGAGATTTTAAGGATTTAACTGGTGCAAGTGGCTCTCCTGGCATAGTTTGCTGTCTCTCCAGGAGAGAAGGAAGGCAAATCCAAGTGGAAATCCTGGTGGGATTTTGGTGCCAAGGGGACAGAGATCCCTTTGGATCGATGCCATGGAAAGAAGATGCAGAAAGAGGGTGCCAGAAACACAAAGGCACAGATGCAATGGGGTTACTGCCAGTCCCAAATCCTGACCTCCAGCTTGACTCTGGAGGTTTCCAATAGCAAGTGATACCTAAAAAGAAGGAAAAAACCCCAGGCTGCCAAGAGGAGCCGT